TGTCCTTAACTTATAGATTCAAGTTTAAAACTTAAGGACTTCTTGTCCTTAAGTTTGAATTCAAAATTCATAAGCTAAGGACATGCAGTCCTTAAGTTTGAGTATCAAATTCAAAAGCTAAGGACACTTGGTCCTTAAGTTATAGATTAAAGTTTTCAAAATTCTAACTTGACATTTTCAAAATTTTCAGGGGACAAATTGATTTATATGCTGATGATAATAGTGTGAGGAAAAAACCATACAAATTGTATCATCAAAAAATCAGTAGCAAAATGTTTTTCCTTGAGCTTTCAGATAGCAAATTTGTTCTTGATGATAAGGTTAGATAATTCACAAGGCATTTATTTTTTCTATTATTAATTTATCATTTTTTCATTATTTTATGACTGATTTGTTATTGATTTGTTTTATTTTTTGCCTTTTTATGAAGCATATTGACATTGCTCTCTATTATCTGAGAAAGAAGGAATGCTACCACCCTCGCGATCATCCTTTTCGATGCACAACTACTGATGTTCTTTTTGATAATTATATGGCACTTGTGTATAAAGATTTCAGTGAAGATGCTAGTGATGAGTTTTGGTGTGCTGGTGATAATCAGTTATTTCTGATACCATATGTGTGGGGGGACAGCCGTAGATGTGGAATTGCATGGACTGAGGTTGACAAAATCTTTTTTCCATGTCGGCTTCCTTCAGAAGATGATGAAGCTGTGACACACTTTTTGTTGGGAGTATTGGACTTGAATCAAAAAAAGATTGATGTATATGATTCCATATACAGTGAGCCATATGAAGCAGGAATGAACTACATGCAAATGTATACACGCATGATCCCCCATTTGCTAAAGTTCTCACAGTTTGACAAAAATCACAAGTCTTTTGGGAATGTCTTCAATAAATTTGATATACAATGGCAAAGATCACCACACCAAACTGGATCGTACGTGTTATTATTTGTTATATTATTTATATGTACTTAAGATTTATTGTTTAATTCACTGCATATCTTACATTTCTCTTAGGACTGATTGTGGTGCATTCCTGATCAAATTTGCCGAGTTGCTGATGATTGGAAAGGACGTGCAGCAATTCCAACCCGAAGACATAAAAGACTTTCGAAAAGAACTTGCTGCAAATCTTTGGGCACATGGTGAATGGAAAAGAAATTCTGGTTATGATACTCCACCAGAAAATGTTGGTGATAATTATGAGAGTGAAAATGAAACATTCTGTCCAAAGAAGTTGTAAAGAAATTGTGGTGTTGTTTTTGTATAAAATTGCTGTAAAGGTGACATCTGAATTATGCCAGTTTAGGATAGTTTTGAAATATTCTATGAATTTGTGAAAAGGCACTTATATTTTGTTTTGTTGGCATAACGTAATTTTTTGTAACAGCTATGCAAAATTACAATTTCAAAAGTTATGTCAAGGCATTTTGTTATTTATTTCGTTGTTTCTCTCAACTGTTGATTTGTCCATTGAGTTTGTTAGTATTTGTTCATGACTAAGTGTAAGTGAACTTCAAATTCAAAGTTAAGGACCAAATGTCCTTAACTTTTGAACTTGAAATTCAAAGTTAAGGACCGACAGTCCTTAAGTTTTGAACATGGGACTATAACTTAAGGACCTCATGTCCTTAACTTTTGAACTTGTATTTCAAACTTAAGGACTCCTGTAGTTAATGACAAACAGTCCTCAAGTTTTTAACATGGGACTATAACTTAAGGACCTCATGTCCTTAACTTTTGAACTTAAAATTTAAAGTTAAGGACAGACAGTCCTTAAGTTTTTAACTTGTATTTCAAACTTAAGGACTCCTGTAGTTAATGACAAACAGTCCTCAAGTTTTTAACATGGGACTATAACTTAAGGACCTCATGTCCTTAACGTTTGAACTTAAAATTTAAAGTTAAGGACAGACAGTCCTTAAGTTTTTAACTTGTATTTCAAACTTAAGGATTCTCGTAGTTAATGATAGACAGTCCTCAAGTTTTTAACATGGGACTATAACTTAAGAACCTCATATCTTTAACTTTTGAACTTGAAATTCGAAGTTAAGGACAGTCATTACGTTTTTAATATGGGACTATAACTTAAGGACCTCATGTCCTTAACTTTTGAACTTGAAATTCAAAGTTAAGGACAGTCATTACGTTTTTAATATGGGACTATAACTTAAGGACCTCATGTCCTTAACGTTTGAACTTAAAATTCAAAGTTAAGGACAGATAGTCATTACGTTTTCAAAATTACAAGTTGAACTTACTGACTCCTGTTAATAACTTTTAATTGTTGAACTCAAAAGAAATTAAAAGAACGTAACAAGATATAAATATTGAAAATCTAGGCATCCGCTCAAATTAGAATAATAATGAATACAATCTATAGCAAAAACTTAAAAGAGTCGATAAACATAAGTGTATATTTCTACTCTTCTCTATGCTTTCTTGAAAATGGATGGAGTGCCGGA